TGTGTGTGTGTGTGTGTGTGTGTGTGTGTGTGTGTGTATGAATGTGTGCATCCATCTTTGAGGAAAGGATAAAGAAATATATGTATGAAACAAAATACCACTCTCCAATGTAAGCCCTACTAAAAGGCCTATATCAGAAACATACTTTCTACCATTTGAGAAATAAAATGCAGCACTGAATTTGAAAGCCATTCACTAAGAATATGCCATGTAAAAATGGAGAATAGTGATTTCTGTCAAGATTGTTATTCTGTAAACCTAAACCTGGATTTATCTTTCAATTTATATCTAACTACAGTGAATATACTTACTACAACTTCATGATTTCTTTGAGTCATGAAAACGTATTTTAGAAATTTGTCTCCTTTCACACATAGTGAGCAATTTGGTTCAGTACCCCAAGAGATGAAAAACTCATCTCAATTTACAACAGTAAATAAATAATTCAGTTAAAACTGAAAGTGGTACCAACCCAGCAAACTATTGATGGAGAGGTTTGGCCTTCCATGAAGCCAGAACAACATAAAGTTTTCAATGGGGATTACTTGCTCAGACAAGTTACAAAGATTAGAAAAATACCCGGATTAATTACGAAATAGCTAATATTCTCATCTTATGGAAAATATTATGAACGTACGTAGAGAAAGACAATACCAGCGGTATTTAAACTTTAAGCATTTTAAGCTTTTAACTTTATATGCTGATATATGAAACAAACATTTAACAACAACAAAAAAAGCAATAATACAAATCAAAACCTAACCAAAGGCCTCTATTAACTAAAAAATTGAAATTCTCTATGCAAGTCAGACAAAACGAAAAAGGAAAATTAAACCCAGAAAGCAAAAACCAATCAAGTCTGTTCCAACACTGAAGTCAATATCCAAATCACATACAGAACCAAAAAGGGAAAAACACTCAGGTCTACAAATGGATAAGCAGTTCCAATACAATCCAGATCCCGACATTTTCCCACTCAGAAACAAATGCAGTGGAGCTTTTCCTGGAGAAATAGGAGAAAAGCTCTCCAAATGAAATTTTTTAAGTGACATCTAGAAAGTGTGTCTCTTTCTGTCTCTTTCCCTGGCGCCTCATTGGAGGAAGGAGGGGGTTGTTTTTGTATTCTCCCCCACTGGAGCAAGACACAATCAGATGTTAGCTGGAGGAGAGAAACCACTTTTGACAACAGCAAATAAAAATAAAAGTGCCCTTTCTCCTCTGACAGGATGGGCACCCACCCCACACACCCCTCCCCACTCCAACCTCTCCTTGATTCGCACCCCCCCCCCAGCACCACCCCCTCCTCACCCCGGAGCTCCACTGCGTATGTGGTTTGGTGCTACTGTTGCCCCGGAGTTAAAGTCAGAGCCAGAAGAAGGCAATGAAGCCCCCACAGACACACTTACCTTTCCTGCCCCCCACTTTTGAGTGCCTTCCCTGGAGCTGTGGAGGATGACACAAAGGGTAATAAAGGGGGGGGGAGTGGAGGAGGAGGAGGCGAAGGAGGAGGAGGGCTGGGGAAGTGGCTGCTCCTGGGTGTAGTGAGATGTCTCCAGCCAGGGCCAAGCAGCAGCAGTAGCAGTAGCAGCAGCAGCAGCAACAGCAGCAGCAGCAGCAGCAGCAACAGCAGCAGAGAAGGGTCTGTGTTGCTAAGAGGCTTTTGGTCTTTCTCTCCTCCTCTCACGGCCAAAGAGGAGGAGGGTGGAGGGGGCTCGGGAGGGAGGCTACTGGAGGGATAAGGGGGTAGGAGTCGTGGATGGGGGTTTTCGAAGAAGAAGAAACTCCTTCTCCTTCTCTCTTAGGCTCAATCCCCCTCTCAGGTCTCAGGGCTGGAGGGTGGGGGAAGGAACTCAGCCGCCTTCCCCCCACCCCCCTCAATTCAAGGTTGAAGTGGGGTAAAATTAGTGTCCTGTCCCTTTAAAAATAGAAATAAAAGGTGCCCCCCCTCTGCCACTGCCTCTCTCTTCATCATCAGCTGCTGCTGCTGCTGGGGTCTCTCTGCTTGGGGGGGAGGGGGGGTTCGGGTAGAAGAGACGGGAGGCACTTACTGCGCATGTGCCTCTCTGACGGGAGGCTGGTTGGTGGAAGACAGGAGGAGGGGGAGGGGAGGAAATGAGATGGTTTCCCAGAAGGCTCCGAGGCGCTCGCGACCCGGAAGACATTGTAGCAGGGGGGAGAGGGGCGGGGGCGGGGAGTAGGAGGAAGTCGCTACTCTTTAACACTCTCAGCCCCCTCCTCCCTCATAAGAGAAAGTGGAGGAACGAAAGTGGGCGTGGACGGAGGCGAAATGAGGTCACGTGTTGGGGTGGGAGGTGGGCGGGGTGGGAGAAGCCGTGAGTGCGCTGGGCATGCCGGGAGTAGTGGTGTATCGTTGGCAGCAGCAGGTGAAGCTGAACAGACTACCGGGCGCGGGGAACCTGTGAAGCAATTCCCGCGGTGGCTAGATCTCTGCTCTGCCCTGGGAAGGGCAGGCTTCTCTGTGAGAGGTAACATGGCTGGCGTCAGGACGAAGACTGGGGAGCCAGTGGCGAAAGGCGAATAGAAAGGGGGAGTAAGGAAGGCTTTGGAGCTTGGGAATGCGAGAAGGGGGCAGGCTTGTCTAGGCCATGCAGGCCAGAAACCAGGCGGGTTCCTTCTGTCTCGTGGATGAATCCCCAGCAAGCGCAGGGAGTCTTGATGATACTATTGATAGATGTGTGGCTGAATGGCGACTACACTTCTTGGTAGTGAGGTCCTGGTGTGAGAGAGAAACGGGATCTCTGGACCCTCTGCAGATGACTCTGGTGACTGCTTCTTCAGCTAAGAGCAGGGAGGTTATCCAGGGAGAGAGAGAGAGACAAGCTCCATCTGTGCATTTTCTCAATTTATAGGATTAGACACATTGCTTATGTTGGGTATTATGACCATCAGCCCTTACTACTTCGCTGCCCTCCCCAGATCTCTGTAGTGGCTTTGGAAGGGAGCACGCTGGGAAGTCTTGAGTGAATTTCCCTCCATGTCCTGCGTTGTTGCTGCAACAAAACGCCTATGCCTGTGCTCAGGAAGGGATATGGGCTTGTGTAGTCTTGATAGTGAGTGTTGCAGTTGACGGAGAAGGGACATCATCAAAGTTTTCACTTTCTATAGTGTAAACAAAGGATTTATAAATGAGCGTTGTGTTTCAGGTTTCTTTGGTTGCTAGCCTAGGATTTATTCATTTGGTTTCTCAGTGCTGCCGGTTTTTGCTGGAAATAATGTTTCCCTCATAAATCAGAGTTAATTCAAAACATTTAAGAAAAAAATAATGAGTTTACGTTAGTAAACCTTTTTAGTAAAATAGCACTGTCTCTTTTTCACATTCCGTGTAATAGTCTTAACTACAATCATTCCAATCTTTCAGTTATCTTTTGTAAAGGTACTTGAAAAGATTATCACCCATGTGTGGTTTTTATTAAGACCAAAAATCTAAAATTCCTCATGTTTATTGTGTTGATATTATTTAATTTTGTAATGGTCCTTTAGGGTACACTGTCTACTAAAGAAAGGTACTACTTATTTTCTACGTTTTACTTCTGATGTTTTGGCAACGGACCCTATTTATATGCATCATTGCCTAGTGCTTACTACTTTTTGTGTGTGCAATAATCTTGTCCAATGAAATAAAAACTAGGTTCCTGTACCTTAAAATTTTGTTTATATTGAAACCAAATATTTACCACTTTATAACAAAAAAATAATTATAGCAAAGCAGTTAAAGTGCCTTAGGTAACAATTTTAAAATCTTTTTGCATGTTTAAATATGCAAAAAACTGCATAAATCATAGATATGCAGTACAGTGAACACTCTGATCACTACCAAAGTCAAGAACTAGAACATTGGGGGTACTGGAAACATACTCCTTCCTCCATCCATTCCTGTCCATTTCCTCCCTCTTCATCATCCCAGGGATTAACACTGTTTGAATTTTTATGGTAATTATTTCCTATTTATTTCAACTATTTTTTTAACCACCTATGTCAGCATTCCTAAACAATATAGATCAATTTTGCTGGTATTTTACCTATATGTAAATGAATTATATGTTATATATTATGTTATTTTCTCTCACTTTTCTATATTTAACCCTGTTAGTACATTTAGCTTTAGTTCATATATTTCTATTGCTGCATAGCAATGTCTATAATGAAGTATAGTGTTTTAAGTCTTTTTGTGAATAAACCAATGATCTAATTTAATATTAATGGACATTTGGATTGTGTCCAGTTTTTAGCAATTATGAACAATTTTACTGTGAATGTTCTGAAACATTTTTATGCATACAATATGCAATTTTATAGTGTGTGGATTATGCCGAACTTTAACAAAGTGGATATATCAATTTATACTCCTCCCAGCAGTATATGAGAGATCCCTTTTTTCTACAGTTTCACCAACAGTTGCTGTTCATCGTTTTTGCCAAACCGATGTTATTGTTTTAATTTGCAGTGCCCTGATAATTAATGAGGTTGAGCATTTTTTCAAAAATGTGTTGGCTATTTGACTTCCTCTTTGAATTGTCTTTTTTAAAGCCTTTTGCACAGTTTTCTATCAGGTTTTCTATGTTTTAAAGATTTGAGCTTTGTGGCAAATATCTTCTGTATGCTTGGAGTATTTCTCACTTCCTAGATAACTTTATTTGTATTTTGTTCCTTACTGGCTTATATGCTATAATTGCTGTTATTTGAATGTTATTTGTAATTTTTACTCAGGCAGAAAGGTTCTATCTACTGTAGTAACCACAGCTGCATGTGTCTGTTGAACACTTAAAATGTGGCTAGTGTTACTGAGGAACTGAATTTTGAGTTTTATGTAGTGTTAATTTAAAATTGACAATTGATACTTGATTCAGTTGTTGGAAAACCCTTAAGTATGTTTGGAACAACTTAGATATGTAAATTTACTTATTCAACTGTAAACTTATTTTATATAAAAATAAAGATCAAGTATTTCTGATGACAGTTTAGCATCTGAATTGTCATGCTCTGTAAATGTTAAGTAGACACCAGATTTCCAAGACTTACTAGAAAAACAATGTGACTTAATTCAACTTTTTACTATGATTATATGTTGAAATTATAATAAATTTTACCTTTTTTTTTAATGTGAGTACTAGAAAATTTTAAATTAGGTATACAGATGGTATATTATATTTCCGTTAGACAGCATGGTCCTCTACCATCAATGGTGAGTTACATATCTCTAAATATTTACCGCTTTGAGTGTTCTTTCATTTCTTGTTGCATCTCTGAATTTTCTTTGGGGAGCTTTTTTCCTTTTGTTGAGTACATTCTTTGTTGAGTCCAATATCTACACAGAAGTTGTCTAATGAAGGTGTGCTCATGGCCAATTCTTTTAATTTTTTGCTTACCTTACAGTGTCTTTGTTTCACCTTAAATTTTGAAGAATATTTTGGGGGTATTAAATTATATAGGATAATGGTCGTTTTTCAGCATCTTGAAGATATTGTTCCACTTTTTTTTGGTTTCCATTATTGATTTTGGGAAGTCAGCTGTCAATCTAAATCTTGCTGCTTTGAAAGAAATCTGCTTTTAAAAATGTTTTCTTTGTCTTAGATTTCTGCTATTTTTCTCATAATGTTTTGGTGTGGAATTCTTTTTCCTTTTTTGGGTTAACTGGGATTCTTATTCAGTGTCTTTTTAAGAACTATATCATCTATGTTCATTCCTACTGTTTTTAATTACTTGCTAAAAATTATATTTGTGGCTTTTATTGACATAGTATTCATAGTGTTTTCTGTTTTGTTTTTTTTGTCTGTTACTGATAATACAGTTACTGAATTTTTTATGGGTCTGTTTCTGCAGGCTCATGATTTTTCTCATGTGTGCCTGTGTGCTGGTTGTTGTATTTGAAAAAATTATAGGAAGAGTATATAAGTCCTAGGGTAATCTCTTTCTCAAGAAGGCATGTTTTTCTAGGAAAGATGCTTAGGGATGCTACCAGCCCCAAATCAGTTCATGTTCAAGACTTGGGATTCCTTCTGTTTCACGCATGATATTAATCCAGGACTTCAAGTTGTATGAGCCATATGGGTTTTGTTTTACTTCTAGTTTTCCCTTATCCTGATGATGTAGCCCCTAATGTCTCAATTTAAATTAGTTGATGGTTTATTTGAGTCCCCAGGCTTGGTGGGTCCTGTGCTTTGGTTTTTTTTTGTTCTTCTTCTTTTCCCCAGGCTCAGCAAAGCCACCAGTAACTCAGGCTTTCTTCTTATTTCTCAGACTTTTCTTTTGGATATGCAAAAGTCCTCAGGACAAAATAACTGGATGTGTGGTTTATTTCTCTAAATTTTGACATGTATGTCATGCTGCCTTTTTACTTTGATTTTTATTAGGAAGTGTTTTTGTTGACTTCAGCAGGTGGATTTATCCAATCTGCCATTACCATTAATAGAGCCCTTATCTTCTTGCTTTTATTTTTAAATTTTGAGATTTGATTTCAAGA